TGCGTCCACATGCTGGGCTGCAGGAGGGGCGTGCGGGGACACGGCGCGGAGGGCTGTCACTACAGGGCAGGCATTGTCACCGCAGGGCAGGTGGCCGGGCAGCAGACACTCTACCCTCGGGCAGTGCCTGCCGTCGGGTCAGGTGGAGGTGGAGGGAAGTGTTTTCGTCTGATAGGCCCTGTGAAGGCAGTGAGATGTAAAGGGGAAGCAACCAGAGGGGGCCTTCTCGAGATTCTGAGGTGCTCAGCCCCTCCCCCTCAGCCAGGAGTGCTGTAGGACAGGCTCCAGGAGGAGACAGCTGCAGGCCAAGCCAGAACCTCCTTGGCCTCGGAGCTTGTCCCGGCAAACACCCTTCAGGGTGTCCCCTCCCCACTGAACACAGGAGAACTGTTAAAGCAGTGACCGCAGAAACATGTCAGGGCACCTGAGTTACAGCGCAGGCTCCCCGCTGCCGGGGCCATCACGGAGGGCGCTGGGACGGCATGACCTGGCGTCAGAGCGAAGGCACAGAGGACCTTGAACAGACGTGGGGACACCTGCGGATGTCCCGGGGACGTGACATCTGTGGTCCTTCATGCCAGATCCTGTGCTCTGAGGGAAGCTGGCGGTGCGGGCCACAGAGCAGGCGGGGCTGATGGGCTTCAGCCCACGTCGCCCTCGCCAGGTCCATTGCACCCCTGGGGAGGCTCTGGGCACCAGCATGTCACCTGGGTTTTATTTCTAATGGCCGCTCATGTGTGTCCCCATTTTGGGCACCGAGATGTGATCATTCCTTTCTTCTGCCGGTGAGCTAGATGCGCTGCAGAGTGACACTGGGCTGGCCTGGGCCCTGGGGGCAAGGCCAGGGCTCCGAGTCGCCCTGCTTGCAATGGAAGCCCCTGGTGCTGGGGCACTTGGGCATTTGCTCTGGAGCAGCACAGACAGAGGTCACGGTGAGGGTGGGATTTTCAGTGAGCAAAGATGGCAGGGTAAAGGGGGTGTCTCGAGGCCCACGGAAGCAATGTTGGGACCAGAGAGGGAAATGGCGGGGGACAGGGCAGGAGTGACCCGGGATCCACTGCCTGGGGTCAGGGGTGTACTCTGAGAGGCAGCCGGTGTCTTCAAGGACCCCTTCCCCGAGCTCGGAGTTCACTGCCTCCCGGCTGCTTGCGCACAAACTCCAGCCACCTGTCAGCAGAGCCGGGAGCCGGAGGTCCTCCCCTTGACCAGAGCCCCTACAGGGTCCAGGCCCAGCCACAGGGCGAGGCTGATGCTGCGGACTCCACGGACGGGGGTTTCCAAGGCCTGAGGACAGCCGTCCCTCGGGGTGAGCTCCCGGCGCCCCGGCCCCAGTGCCCACAGCGATCTCGGCACTGGGCGGCCCCGGTGTCAGGTACGCCTGACACAACCTGCGAGCTCCCTGTGGCCCCGCGTGGCCTGTGTCCCTGCAGCCTGACCCACGCAGCATTCTGGTCCTGTTTGCCTTTAGTGTCCTGCCTCTTGGTGTTACTGCGTGTTTGTTTCCTGGAGAGCTTCAGCACTGGGGGTGCTGCTCTCTTCATGGCCCCCTGGTGGACCGAGGTGGCCATGGGCTATAAACGCCTGTGCACAGCGGGTGGCCTTGGGCCCGTGCTGGGGCGGACGCTTTCCCCAGTCTAGTGTTTCCGACTGTTATTTTTAGTCCTAGAAATGCAACTTTCCAACTAGTCAAATTTGTTGAACTTTTACTTGGTTGTATTTTCACATCCTTCAGTCCGTGGAAAGCAAGTGTGGTCTACATTTGGGGTAGATGTTCTCTTTTGTTCTCTCCTCGCTTTCCCGGGGCTTGCTTTTCACGCGGTGTTCTCTTAACCAGATGGGTGTTGCGCTGGTCCCCACGTTTCTTCCCAGATGCCCTGGGCATCCGTCAGTGCTTCCTTGTCCTGCTGCCTCTGGATCTTGTTTTCTCCTACAATAAACATCTGTTCTGACCTGTTCACTGCATTCAGCTGCTCTCCCCACAGTCACGAGTCCCCAGGGAGGTGCCTCAAGGAAGAGACCATCTCCCAGCTCAAGGTCTGGCCCAGGCCTGCAGAGCCAGAGACCCAGCTGGTCACTGCCTCTGGATGCGTCTCTTGGGGGCCGCCTCACCTTAAGCAAACTTATCAGAGACCAACACACAAATCAGAAAAGGAATGTGCTAACTTAGAATGGGCATGACCCCTTGCTGCAGCAAAATACCGTGTCCCTCAATAGACACCCCCTCTCTGAGCCTGGATACAAGTTCCCCTGCTATCCAAAAGCAGAGCGTTCCTTGACACCTTCCAAGGCCGAAATGGCATAAAGCGAAGAGGCACTTAGTTACCTTGTTAGGACACATGTTGCTCATGGCGCACAAGACAAATCGAGACGAAGCGCAGACGCCCCCAGACGCGGTTCACAGCCCTGGCAGCTTGGTGCTGAGTGTAGTTCCACAGGAGCTTGGCAGGGCCGCTCTCGCTGCCTCGGTTGCAGCTGCTGCAGAACAAATGCTGAGCGCTGTTTTCACTTTTTGCCTTTATTCAAAAAAAGCTAAAATCCAGTTTGGATTTGTCGGAAAACAGGTACTAACGTAGGTCTCTTGTAAAAGCAAAGTGGTGTAAAGAGAACTTTCAAAAAGCAGAGGGACACTTGTTACCTGGGAAACAAAGTTAGGCCCTGTCGTTGCTTCATGCCCACAGTGTGACGTGACCTTGCCTGCCCCCAGACCCTGTCAGCACCCCGTTCAGGTCCTGAGCTCTGACGCGCTCTGTCAGTCCTCCCTTCTGTGCCCCTGCTCACTTTGCCTCTGTTAGAGCCGATGTTCTCACGAGGGGCGATTCTGCCCCCAGGAGGGGACGCTGGCAACACCTGGGGACATGTTTTTGGTTGTCACAACTGAGGGGAGGTGCTATTGTCAGTTGCGGGGGGGCAAGGAAGCTGTTCAGCGTCCTAAAGAGCCCAGGATGCGGAGGGTGGGGACCCGAGTTAGATCCGTGACTTAGGCGAAGGGCTAAAGAGAAGATTCACGAGGCCGGAGAGAGAAGAGTCAGCGCTGTCGGCTGGAGGTTTCAGAAGCTGGAAAATGAGGAGAAGCAGCTTCGGCAGAAGCCTCCACACTGGACAAGGTGCACGTCCAGGCTGAGAAGGCTGGCAGGGCCTGGGGCTGGGGGCCCGGGTAACCCTGACAGTGGGGCAGGGGTGGGAAGAGAAATGGTGATTGGCTAAAAGTCTCCATGGGAGTAATTAGAACCCCTCAGGTCTGTCCACCCTCCTGGGAAACAGAAGGCTGCCCCCATCCCTCCGAAAGTGAACCAGCGGGGCAGACTGAAGAAGGGAAAGGGTGAAAGTCCGGCCCACGGCCACCGCTGTCCACCATCGGGGAGGACTCATCCAAGGAGAATTATGTTGCGTGCATCTCCATCACAACCCCGCTCCTCTCCCCTGCCATCTCCCCCTCTCCCTCCTGCCTGAACCCCGAGGTGTCCTCTTGCCCCGCCCATAGCCTCTGAGGTCAGCAAGGCACCGGTCCTCCGGGGACCTAGAGCGTCCCGGAAGTGCGCGAGGCCGGGCGGGCGGGGCGCGGGAGCACTTCCGGCCGGCCGGCCGGCGGGCGGGCGGCCACCTCCCGATCGGAAGGTGAGTGAGCGCCGGGCGGCGGTGGTGGCGGCTGCGGGGCACCCCCGGCCCAGGCCGCACTCGCGCGTTATCCCCGCAGCCGCCGAGACCTTGGCCTCGGCGGGGCGTGGGGGGCGCGGATGGCGAGACGCAGGGGGCACACTGGCTCCTGACGATCTCGGGTGTCCGTTTGCGGGGCGCCTCCCCACGCACCCGGAACCCCAGGGACGGGAGCTGTGGTGATGCCCACTTTGCAGATGGAAAAGAGGCTCAGAGCTGCCCCTGGCCCGAGGTCCGTGGCCGGACTCAGCCGGGGCACCCTGCTCTCCGCTGCCAAGCGCCCCGAGTTCGGGCTCTTTCCGGTGGCGCACAGGCTCCAAGCTGGGAGGCGGGGTGGAGGAGGGTTTGCTCCTGGGCCGGTGCCATTTGTGTCCCCTCTGCCTTCAGCCTGTTGCAGCAGCGTGGACGTTTGCACTGGCGTCCCTTTGTGACCGCCACCTCCCCTCAGAGCCCGGCTAGGGGTGACCGTGCCCTTTCCCAGATATTTAAAATGTGGCATACCCAGATGTCAGGACTGCAGCCCCACCGTGTGTCCACTTACCTGGCTGCGGGTGAGCCTTCCCATCTTTAGGGGCTGAGGTCTGTCGGGGGCTGACCCAGGAGGCCCCCACTGGTGAGGAGCCCTGTGGCGTCTGCCTCCCTGCTTCCTTGGAGCAGGCACTGCCTGCACCGTTATTGGATGTACATTACCTTTCGTCCTTCCCCTGCCCCTTTTCACTCCCAGATAAGGCCTCCTACTTCGTGCAAGTGTGAAAGAAAAATCCTCAGTTTAGACCAAGCTATTCCTGCAAACCAGACTAAAGAAAAGTATCTTTGACCCCAGAGGAGGCTCGGAGCACCCTGGGCGGGGCTGGGATGTGAGGCGTCCCAGCCTGCGGCCTCTGAGGGGGGTTTTCCTCTCTGGAAGTGTCTCGTTAAGACTTAACCTAGGACGTTCCTGCTCCGGCAGGCAAAGTTCAGTTTTTTGCTCTCCCCAGGGCCAGCGGACCCCAGCTGTGATGGGGGAGGTTTTTCCGGGAGAACCAGCTTGCTTCTCTCCGTGGGCAAGGCCTTGGGTTGGGAGGACGCCGCAGGCATTGCTGGGAGGAGAGCCTGGGCTCGGTTCGTGCGGGTGCCCTGGCGCTGCGCACATGGCAGAGCTGACACACCAGGGGCCCCGGTGGCCTCGCACTGTGGGCCCCACAGGTGACCTCTTGGCGTTTAGTCCCTCCCCCGGGGGAGGAGCCTCCAGCTCACCTGTGGTTGATCGGCCCCACCCCGCACACCCCTCTGACGCCCTCATCTCGCCGTGGTTTTCATTTCCCCGGCTCCCAGGTGTGCACTCCTCCAGCAGGCCTTGGGGGAAGATGGCGGCCCCGGAGGACGGTCAGGAGCCCCCTCATGTCCTGTCCACTGTCACTTTCAAGTCACCGGAGACACCTGGAGCCTACCACCACCACGAGGCCCAGCTTCACCTCCACGGCCATCAACATGGTATTTGCCTCCCTGCACCGTCACTGCGGGCAGGCAGCTCACTGGGCTCTGGGGCTCCTGCATCCTGGTGCTTGGGTCGGGACTCGGGCAGCAGTGCTTGAGGCTAGGGGTCGAGCTGTGTGAGCAGTGGCTCCCTAGAGGACAGTCCCTTGGAGTATGTTTCTTTAGGGGATGAGGGGTGCAAAAAAAGCAGCCGCGATGGCCAGGCCCGTGTGAGAGGAGTCAGTCACCTTATCTCCCTCTCTGAGCCTTTGATCTTGAGCCTTTGAGCCATCAGCCTTGCTCCGCCCCCAGCAGGATCTGGGGGTGTCCAGGTGTGGAAGTAGCCGCCAACTGGTCGGGGAGGATGTCCAAGTCCTGCGGTGTGTGGTGCCCCTGGACCCTACTCACACTCAGCCGTCTGGGAGTCCGGGGTCCCTTCCCTGCCCCATGTCCCACAGGAGGCCTGGCCTCACTCCCCTCACAGTTGAGGACACAAATCAGCTCTTGACAGCCAGGACGAGGGCCCAGGTAGATGTGTTCTTCCCACTCAGCGAACCTCCAGAGGGCAAGGAGGTGTGTTGGGGGGGTACAACCCATTCCAGAGGAGGGGGAGATGAGCCCCAGCCCCCCTGTGACCCCCAGGCTTCCCCGGATGCAGCCCTGGGGTGCTCTCCCAGCCACCACAGGAGGAGGATCTCCGGGACGTGGAGGAGGTCCAGGCTGGCAGAGACACCTGCTGGCCAGGTGAGCAAGCAGAACCTGCCTCGGGGCCCCGCCCAGAAGCGCGTTTACCTGCGGCTGCTGCACGCCAGGCTCTGTGCAGCGCCCACCACCGCTGCCAGGCCCCGGGCCCCCACTTGTCCCTGGTTCAGCGCTCACTTCTGTCCCCCACAGCCCCTCCCCCCGTTCAGTCCCGGTCTTGTTGCTGACACTTTCTGGGCTGTGAGAGCAGCACAGACCCCCATATCCACCTGCCTGTCCGGCTAGAGTGTCTGACTTGGCAACACTGGCCAGCAATCGGGGAGTCGTCCTGGCACCCCTGTGTACTGCCCTCGGCCTCCACTTGTCCCCTAAATCGAGCTCTGGTCCCCACCCCCCTTCCCCTGGGGCTTCGCTCATCCAGGCCCTCAGCTCCTCTTTTCTCTCCCTCCCCACCCCAACCCCCGCCTCTCTCCCCTAGAGAAGCCCTTGGGGTGTCCTCTGGGGATCCGTGGAGCAGCTCCGGGGCCGTGTGGGCAGCGTCCTCAGGATCAGGGGCTTTTCTGCTTGGCTCTGAGTCTGAATCTCCTGTCAGGCCTCCCCCCTCCACATGCACGCGCACCCTGTGTGTTCTCACCCTGGTGCTGTCATCTGGAACGGGATGGGGGTCCTCGCGGAGGGACAGCCTGGTGGGCGGCTGAGCTCTCCGCCTCTCCCGTTTCTCATTTCAGATCCCGAGTTGGAGCGCGAGCGGGCCCCGTCGTCTCCCCAGCCACACAATCCTGAAGACGAGGTGGACCAGGACACGGGGGTGCTCAGGACCCTTCTGAGGAGCCTTCCCCATAGACCCAAGTGTGGAGACAGCTTTGGGCAGGAGTGTAGCCTGGAGCCACCGGCAGGCCAGCCACCGGGGGCCGGGCCCCGCCCCCAGAAGAGAGGCACCTGGCGTGGGCCGCTTGGGCTGCAGGGAGCCTCGGGGACAGAGGGCGGCCCAGGGCGTGCCGCCGAGCTGGCGGGCAGCCTGGGCCGGGTCTCGGGCCTCGGGGCCCGGCAGGGTGGCCCACGGGGCGGGAAGCCGCACAGGTGTGAGGCCTGCGGCAAGAGTTTCCAGTACAACTCGCTGCTGCTAAAGCACCAGCGCATCCACACGGGCGAGAAGCCCTACGCCTGCCACGAGTGCGGCAAGCGCTTCCGCGGCTGGTCGGGCTTCATCCAGCACCACCGCATTCACACGGGCGAGAAGCCCTACGAGTGCGGCCAGTGCGGCCGCGCCTTCAGCCACAGCTCGCACTTCACGCAGCACCTGCGCATCCACAACGGCGAGAAGCCGTACGAGTGCGGCGAGTGCGGCCAGGCCTTCAGCCAGAGCTCCAACCTGGTGCGGCACCAGCGGCTGCACACGGGCGAGAAGCCGTACGCCTGCAGCCAGTGCGGCAAAGCCTTCATCTGGAGCTCGGTGCTCATCGAGCACCAGCGCATCCACACGGGCGAGAAGCCCTACGAGTGCGGCCAGTGCGGCAAGGCCTTCCGCGGCCGCTCGCACTTCCTCCGGCACCTGCGGACCCACACGGGCGAGAAGCCCTTCGCCTGCGGCGCCTGCGGCAAAGCCTTCGGCCAGAGCTCCCAGCTCATCCAGCACCAGAGGGTGCACTACCGGGAGTAGCGGGCGCGGGGCCGCGCATCAGCAGCCTGAGGTCGAGGCGCGCTCCCGCGGAAGGCTCCTGCCTTTGCGCCTCCTGGCTGGCGCAGCCGGCATCTCGTGCGTGTCCCGAATAAAATCTGTGTACTTGATGGACGCGGGAGGAAGGCCACGTGGCTGCCCCCATCCCTGAGGGCTCCTCTCGATAGAGGAGTGAGGGGCCTAAGGCAGAGCCCACCACGTGCCCTAGCGACCGAGGCCTGGGGGCGTCGTGACTTACCAGAGCCATAGCCAGGGCGGGGCCAGGTACCCCAGGATGGGTGGTTTCCAGATCGGGGTGGGCGGACCCGGGCTGCCCGCTCTCACCCTGGTCTGTAGTCTCTGGTGGTTTGCTTTGCTCATGCATCTGGGAGAATGTGTGTAGCATGTTCTCTCTGCAGCAAGCCCTCGGATCTGCTCTGTTTGCCTTCTCACCCTGCCTCTGCACCTACTGGTGGCTGCCTGAGGCCAGCAGGCTTCAGTGGAAGGTGGCCCTGCCCAGCCTTCATAGCTGCCTCCAGCCCCAGGAAGCCGGGGCCCCAGGGGGTTCCCCGCTTGACAAGTCTAGGCAACTGCAGCTGGGCATTGGCTGTAGCCGGCTTCAGATCTGCCATGACTGCTCTGTAGCTCTCCAGCCCCTGTGGTAAACGGGAGAGCCCAGCTGGGTGGGGGCGCCTTCTGCCTGCCTTCCTGCCTGCTCCTTCCTGGACAGCTTTGGGACCCCCCCCCCCACTGCCTGCACCACACACGGAGGAGTTGCCCGGCCCCTCTCCAGGGTATAACTCCGCCTCGCCTCCGCATCCTCTTTCCCAGTGACCCCAATGGAGAGCCCTGTGGTTGGGCTGCCCTGCCTCTCCAGGCTACACTCTCAGGGCCCCGAGGCCATCAAGCACTTTGGACTCCCCCACGAGGGTCAGAACACCTCCTTGAGTCGTCTTTGCTTGTGCTCTGTGTCACCCTGGAAGACGAGGGACACCCGCCTCCCCAGCCCCCTGTCCCTAATACCACGTGGCTATTGGGTATCGTGAAGCTTCCACCTTGGGCAGCCAGGCCGCGGAGCAGGCGAGCAGAGCCCCCAGGGCTTTCCAGGGAGCGGTGGCTCAGCCTGTGCTCCAGAAGGGTCATCCTGCAGCCTCAGCACCAAGGCTGGGCTCTGGATACCTGCACCACAACCGAACTTAGCGGGCAGCCCCAGAGCAGAGCCCAGCGGTCCTCCACACTGTCATAGACTGTCCTGGAGGTGGCCCGGCAGACCCTCGGTGACAGGACAGGGACAGGGCGGGAGCTCCCAGGCCACTGAGCAGCAGGCATGCAAGCTAGGAAGGCTGCCCAGAGGAGGGGAGCGTGGAATCAACTGTCCCCAGCTGCAGCTCCTCGGTGCCAGGAGGTAAACTCAGCAAAGGCTCTGTGTCCTCCCTTGTCGCATGCAGCCCGCCGAGATGGGCTGAATGGCATTTGCGTTTGCTGGCTTGGGACCGGTTCTCTCTCGAGGGTTCCATCTGATGCATTCAGCACTTCCCGGGAACCTGGAACGCCCGGCAGGACCCAGACAAGGACTCCTCAGGGCATCTTCTCTGCCCGTTGTGGCTTCCCAGGTTTATCAGTATCTGGCTGCACAGGACGTTATAGTTCTCGACCCCGACCACTCCTGGGACGTGGGTACAGCCCGGAGTCTCTGCACTGTCCTCCTGCCTCGTGTCAGGCACAGGCGTCACGCCCCTCCTCCCCCGCCATCGTCATCCTCCAGTTCCAGCTCTGATTGGGAGGATGGCCATAGAATCCTTTGCACGCCACCAGGCACACAGCAAAAGCCCATAAAAGGGGCTCCTGGAAAGGCTCTGTCGACAACCAGGGACAGGTCAGGAACACTGTTAATGGACAGCTTCAGCAGAAAGCCACCCGGGGCCAGGGCCGGCCACGGCGAGTGTAAAAGAACATTGAGGGAGACGGAGTGAGGCACCAGGAAAGCGGTCCCTGTGTGTTTCAGAGCCCAGGAAGTGCTCACTCATGTAGGGGCAGTATCTGCTTTCGGCCCTAGAAGTAAATAAAAGCCCTATAGGAGCTTGAGCCCTAAAGAAGGGTGGCCCTGTGAGGAGCTCCGAGGGCCCCGCACAGGGAAGAGGGTCCAGGAGCTGACAATCCATCTTGGGCTCTGCAGAGTGTGGGGCGGGCTGCGTGTGCCTGTGAGTAGGGAAATAACGACAAAGCTGGGCCTAAATGTGGACACTTTTCAGTTGGATACAAGGGGTTTTGTTTTTACATGAATATAAGCAGTGTGGCATGATGGTTAAGAGAATCGACTTTGAAACTTAAAGTCCAACTCTACACTTAAGTTGTAAGGTTGGACAAGTTATTAGTCTCCAAATTTGTTTTCTAATTAGGAAAAAGAAAAAGATGTATTAGGGCTCTCCAGAGAAACGGACTCAATTGGAGAGATAGGTAGATAGGTAGGTAGGTATTCTTAGGAATTGGCTCATGAGATTATGGAGGCTGAGAAGTTCTGAGACCTGCAGTCAGGATGCCGGAGACCCAGGAGCGCCGATGGCATAGTTCCAGTCTGAAAACCGGCAGGCCCAGGACCCAAGGAAAGCCAGTGTTTCAGTCCAAGTCCAAAGGTAGAGTGAGACTGACGCCCCAGCTCAGCAGTCAGACAGGAGGAGTTCCGTATTACTTTGTCTTTTTGTCCTATTCAGTCTTTCAGCTGATTGGCTGGGGCCCACCCACGTTAGGGAGAACCTGCTTTGCTCAGTCTGCTGCCTCAGACGTTGATCTCACTCAGGATAACGTTCGACCAAATATCTGGAGACCCTGTGGCCCAGTCCAGTTGACACATAAAATTAACCTGGGCAAGGTCCGTATCCTCTCTAAGCTGCATCGGTAAATTGGCGATAGTGATCCTGTTGAATACATCACAAGGTCTCTGTGAGCACTAACTTAGATCATTATGTGAAGAACCAGCAGAGCACAGGCCAGAAGCAGAAGTTAACATCCACTTCCCACCTGGAAAATATACATCCTCCCTCATGACAGTTTGTTACGCTTATTTATTTCCATCCCATTCATTCAGTAAACCCTTTCTGAGCACCCGCTCTGGGCTGTGCATGCCCGCATCTAGGAGGCTGCTTTTCCACACAGCACGTCACACCCAACTCTGTCCTCGGTGCGCAGCACGGTGGTGGCCTGTGCACTGCTAAATGGTTAAAGAGTCACTGGGGTCACCCAAGTGTATCAGTGGTCAGATCCCCTGACTTTATCTTTTAAACCCAAGGCTGCGGGCTAAGTCAGATCTGGCAGGACTTTTCCAACTCCACCAGGGAAAGTGAGGTCTCTGACAGGGGCCTCTGAGCTGAAGGAGGGGTTATGCCAGACCCAGACCCCTGAGGAATGAGTATCAGAGGCTCCTCCTGGGGGCAGAGCTTGCTGAAAAACACAGATTCCCAGGCCCCACACCAGGGAAGACAGACTCAATAGGCCTGGGGTGGAGCCAGGGAATCCGGATTTAGTTCTGACACCCCCAGTGATGTTGACAGTGTGCCAAGCTTGGGAACCTCTGGTCTCATCTAGTCCCTCAAAGCAGGTGCATCTGCATAGGCAGTGGTCCAAGCCCCACTCAGACACCACCTGGAGAGGCAACCCGAACTGCTGGACAGCTCTGCCTTGCGCCAGGATCTGCCCTCTCGCCGCCAGCTGCTCCCAGCTCTGCCCTCTGGGCCTGTCGTAGCCTGGCTGCACTCACTGGTAGGAAGAACCCTCAGGATCCGAAGGTAGTGGTCAGGCAAGGGTCCACCTCCTCCCCGCTGCGGTTCTTTTCTAAGCAGTCAGTTCCCTCAGCTGGTCGCAGGGTTTGTGGACTTGCCTTAGCAATGGACGTTAACGTTCTCACCTCAGTCCAAGCCAGCGCGCGTCATTTCCCTCCCAGGGTCTCTGCCTCTCCGACTTCTCCGAGGCCCCATCGGCGGTGCAGCCCAGCACCTCGGACAGCTCCAGGGACGTGCGCATGCCTCCGGGCGCAGGTCCACGGCCCTGAGGCTCTCCGGGTCCCCCGAGCCTCTCCCCGGGACTCCTCCCCAGGAGCCCTCCCGCCGGCCGCTCCCCTGGGCGGGTCCCCCCGCGGGGACCCCCGAGAGGGTCCCCCGAGCTACCTAGAGCTCCCGGAAGTGCCGGCGGCGCGGGGCGGGGCTCCCTGTGGGCGCGGCGCGCGCTTCCGGCTCCGGCTCCCGCCGCGGCCCGGGGGGCGGTGGGTGAGAGGCCCCGCGGTGCTGGTCGCTGGGCCCTGCAGCCGGGCCGGCG